GACCGGTATCAAGCGTTCTTGCAATTCGCCGCCTATTACCTTTAAGTATTAAAAAAGAGAAAGATACAAAAAATTAAAAATATAGAAACAATAAATAAGTGTGGGAGGAAAAGAGAGAGAGAGAGAGAGAGAAATATATATATATATGTATATAGACAATATGCAGGATTAAATTTTAAGTTCTTAACTTCTAAATATGTGCTTTTTGTTTTAAACATTACATTTTTAAATCGCTGTTCCAATTTTTTTTTCAAACTAGTTAAGCAAATAAAATCAAGCTTAAAATAGGAAATAAGAAAATATACTTTGACAATAGGGTTTACGTAACATATTCCTTTTAAAGTATTTGTAGGGAAAATGATAGTGTACATATCCTAAATTCTGGTAAGGACACAAAAAGGTTTTATTGTAATTTTACTATAAAGCTATAAAGTAGGTAAATTATTATTAGCATAGTTCCCAATTTAATCTCCAAATTTGTTTATTACACCCTTGCAGGGTATTATCATTTTAGTCAGCAGGACTCAACGCAGTGAAGCATACATTTTCGACCCTATAAACGATATATAGTCTTGATCAGCATCAACAGCCGAGTCGATCTAGACAAATCCGTCTGTTCGGCTTTCTGTTTCTATGCAAACTAGTTCGTCAGTTTTGAAGCTATCTAAATGAGCAGCAGTCTTTTGACGGCTCCCAGTGGTACATATATCGAAATGGGCCGGATATCATATAGCTGCTATGGGAACGATCGAAAATTGTTGAACAAAAAAATTATAGCTTAGCTGTTTTTCAACCTATTTTTATTTTCTTTAAGATATGGCCATTTTGTTTTATTTCAGAATTCTAGTTTTAATTTTATGAATATCGGACGACTTCTCATATAACGATCCGAAAATGAATAGAAAACTATAAAAATATCGCTGTTATTTAAGATATTTTCATGTACTGCGTAATGTGTTATTTCAGATTTTTGTTTATTGCAAGACTGTGATGCACTATGTATAGTACATACCAAGTGACCTTGCGACACCAAGCACGTGCTTGTTCGTGGTAGGTGTTAGTAGCTAGTAGTTAGGTGGTAGGTGTTAGGCGCGAGGGAAATAAAAAGAAAAGGATGCGAGGAAACTACTACCAGATTGGTTGCTTGCCTGTGTATGTTTATTTTTAAAGACAGCCGCAACAGCTATAGCTGAAGTTTTTGAAGCAACAAAACTACGAGAAGAGCAGAGCATAGGCTTCGCCGTTCTTCTGCTATGGCTCTCGTCAAAGCGAGAGCGGTAGCAATAGCATAGCAATATTTTTATGAATTTTGCTGCTATGGAGTAGTAAATGCACACCCTGCTTATCATGATGAAGATTTAAAAGAATAGAGCTTTTGATTAATGTAGGACTGCAAATTTTTTTCGATTTAGGGATGATGTAAGAATAAGTCTGATTTGAGTCTATTAAGTTGGATTAAGTAGTTTGAAAAAAACAGCAAATAGATCGGCAATTGACTGATCATTATCTGCTGTTCTATTTTTAAAAAAGAGCGAGGAAGGATGAGAAATTGGTTTACGTTTAGTTTTAACAAAATTATAAAACTGTTTTGGGTCCTCAGAAAACTGTGCCCCGCAACGAGTCAAATAATTATTGTAACACTGCGCGTTCTGAACGGTAAAAGTTGATCGAGCCGATAAATAGCTAGATAGGACAGTTGGAGAACCGGTGCGATTATATTTATCATACAGATAAGATTTTTTATTATTGAGGCGGGTCAAGTCTTTGGTAAACCAAGGAGGCTTATTTGATGTTGACGGATAGTATAACGAAACACATTCAGTAAAAAATGAATTCATATCACAGAGACAAAAGAAAGATCATGCAAGCGCTCTAAGGAATTTCGTACATGGTTGACTTGGGACAGCGAAATGTCAAACAAGCCAGAAATAAAATCATGATGTGTTGTGGTAAGAAGTTTATTAGTGGAATTATCTAGAGACCAAATAGCCCACTAAGAACTACTAAGTGGTCTATCTGAAAGTTTTTTGGAAACCTACAGTATAGCGGAAAGATGGTTCAAATAAATAGAAAGTTCCGACAATGGAGAATTGTAGAAAAATGTAATAAAAATGGAATTACCATTGACTGATAGCTTCACGCAAAGGAATTCAACATCGTTGCACTCATCGAAAGTTATTAATTTGGACGTGATAGTGGAGTCGACCACTATACGAACACCTCCCCCACGGCCGATCTAGCCGGTATACTGAGAACACAATTGGAAAAACTTCGGAGCTCAGAATGTCTGGCTTTAACCAGGTTTTTGTGGTACAATAACTTGAGAAGCAAATGAGACACTATCAGAATACACTTACTACGTAAGCCTCCTGCATTCTGATAGGAGACACCAAGGGAGTTGGTTAGTTTTAGTTTTTTGGGACAGAATTAGAAGACGTAGAAGGCGGAGTTATCAAATCGGGACAAAGAAGAATAATTCCTACTGGCCGCTTTTCCTTTTTCTTTGCTTAGAAGTCCTTGACAATCACATGCTTTGGGCAGATTTGGCCAGAGCATGGTGAATTTGTCAGGAACATTTATTTTGAAAGATGAAATAGGAACATTTCAGCATATGAAAATTTACATTTTTCCACCTTTTTTTTTCTTTTCTGCTCTTGTTAAATCTTCCGATGTTTGCTCAGGCGAGAGCCGCGAATGAAATAACTCTTTTGTTGGTGGTATTGGCATACGGGTTTTGGAAAGGCAGACTGATTATCCGCGCTACCGGTAGTCCGGGCCTGACACCCTGGCAAGGAACAGGACTGGGGCTCTGAGTGGTCACTTTTCGGGACCCCCTAGGGTACGAAAGGGAAATGGGTAACACCGGGGGTACGGTCACTTCCGCGACACATTCGGGTACCGAATCTTTTCAAGCAGTCGATGTCAGGATTCGTGGAGTTTGTCCTACGGTCGAGTGCTGTGCCGAGGAAGGCTGCTGCTGAGAGCCAGGTGGTTGGGATCCGCCTAGATGCTGCACACCAGTTGTGTTTAATAACTTAAGGGTATTAAACTTAGTGTCCAGCCCTAAGGTCATATATTGAGCTTTTCGAAAACTCATAAACAGCTCTTTAAGATCGCCCTTGGTTGCCGCATGAACGACATCATCTCCCTTTCCATTTCGCGGCAGACCTCACAGCAATAACGTACGCCGATATTTTTGGCAACGTCATCAACTGTCCGGGCAACGACTCCAATGCACTTGGCGTGCACGATGTTGTCGCACAACCAACAGCTGATGGTAAGATCACCATAAGAAGAATTCTTCTTACATGTTTTTGAGAAGCAGACCATATTAAAAGACATTTTACGGACTTACCACTGTACCTTTAAGTTTAAGAGAGGACGCAAGGGGTTAAGTGCAGCGGCACTGAAAGAGCGGGAAAGAGTGGGATTGAGCAGTAATGAAACCGTTTATAGCTGCCGCGACATTTGCGCAACAACAACAAACGCAGAAGGCACAAAAGGGAATGTATAAAAATGCAAACAACCGCACCTGCCCGAACCAAAATGCAATTTAAACTGAATTAAATAACACAAATAGAAAAGTTGCATGCACACGCAAAGTGAACGGGAACTATTAAAAACACCAAATATGAAATATTAAATTAAAATTCTACACAAATCGAGAGCGCAAGAAAAAAACACGTCCGTTCACTTGAAAGAAAGAATAGAATATATTATAAATTTAAGTGCTGAAAACACACACAAAACAGAGTTTCATTTGACAGTTACAGTTTTACATTCCCAGCTTTACATTTTCTCTAAATCTACTGATCGTTTCTATGGCAGCTATATGATATATGATAGTTGTCCGATTTTCATAAAATGTTTACCAAAGTTCTGAAATAATAAAAAAGCTCATATCTCAGAGTAGATATAGTAGATATAGAAATAGTAGTCCGATTTTTATAAAATTAAAACCGAAATTCTGAAATAATAAAAATGCAAAGTTATAATTTTTTGTTCTTAAATTTGTCGATCATTTGTATGGCACCTATATAATATAGTCGTCCGATCCGGTCTGTTCCGACATATAAACAGTGAGAGTATTCAGAGGACTATAGAATAGCTTTAAAACTGACTGGACTAGTTTGCGTAGAAGCGGACAGAAGGACATGGCTAGATCGAGGCTGATCAAGAATATATATACTTTATAGGTTCGAAAAGGTCTCTTTCACTGCTTCTGACTGAAATTATAATACCTTGCAAGGGTATAAAAATCTAATAAAACAAGAAAGGAAGCTAACTTCGGCACGCCGAAGTTTGTATACCCTTGCAGATTGGTTTTGATGTTTATTTTATAGATTTAAATGCTGAAAACACTCACAAAACAGAGTTTCATTACATCTTACCTTTACTTATTATGTTTACAGTTTGACAGTTACAGTTTTACATTCCCAGCTTTATATATTTTATACATTTACCGATCGCTTCTATGGCAGCTATAAGATATAGTTGTCCGATTTTTATGAAATTTATACCAAAATTCTAGAATAATAAAAAAAACTTATATCTCAGAGTAAATAAAAATGCGTTGAAAAACAACGCAGCTATAATTTTATTTCTATTAATTTCCCGATCGTTCCTATGGCAGCTATATCATATAGTCGTCCGATTTTCATAAAATTTTTACTGTTGAAAAACAGAAAAGTTCCGACATATATAGCAGTGAGAGTATATAGAAGACTATATGCAAAGTTTCAATCAGATAGCTTTAAAACTGAGGGACTAGTTTGCGTAGAAACGGACAGACGGACGGACGGACAGACGGACGGACAGACGGACGGACAGACGGACAGACGGACATGGCTAGATCGACTCGGCTGTTGATACTGATCAAGAATATATATACTTTATAGGGTCGGAAAGGTCTCCTTCACTGCGTTGCAAACTTCTGACTGAAATTATAATACCCTGCAAGGGTATAAAAATGTGAATAGATGGAAAAATTAAAGTACTCGTAATTGTTTAGAAAGTTTATTTATATTTTTACGTCATTCTCATACTCACAGGAACAAACAAAAATGAAGCAAAAGATAATAAAAGAAAAATTAGAATTGGATATTTGTTAGTAACATATGTATACTACATAATACATTTTCAACATTTATTTATTTTTTTTTTTGTTATTTTTAAATTAAGAGTTAATATTATTATAATTGCATGCTTAACATTTTTTTTAATTTCACATAAATAGGCTTTATTTAATACTAAAGTGCATACATTTTCGGGGAAAATATTGTATTCAATAAGGTCCAGTACAATCGGGTAATTATTAGCTAAGTGATTGGAATTTTGTTTTACGAATATAAGAATTTATAATTTCAAGGATCATTAATTATTGCCTTAACTAAACCACGGTTGGGAGCTCTTGGGATATTAAGGATTTTTAAATAGAGATGGAAAATGTTTCGCTGTTTTTAGTTATATCGATATATTCCAAGTTCTATCAGAATGTCATGGTTCAGTCGTCTCTTGTTCGGTATTATACGGAATTCTTAAATTATGGAGTCAATTACAATTTAAGTTTAAATCCAAAATGCAATTGCGCTTTAGCAAGAATGTAAATTTCAAGCTGGTAGAAACATCGATATAGCGATATTTTGCCTATCATTATTAAGATTTTGAATTTGATCTGTTAATAAATATCAAATAAAAAACCGCCATACTTAAAAAAAAAAGAAGTAAAATAAAAATTTAAAGAGAAGACATTTAATAAAAGAAACAATAATAACTGAACTAGAATATAGAATAATAATATAGAAGAATAAACCTAAAATAATAAGAAAACATTTCGATACCTCGATGTTTGTTTCCCAGCTCTATAAGTGTTTAAATTATTTTTTTAAATTCGAGTCTCATTCTGTCCATTGGTATATTTTGCAGTTTGTTGTTGAGTTTCGTTTTCAGTGTTATTACAATGGCTTTGCGGTTGTTGTTTCAAAATGTAAGCAATTTCTAAAAAGCTTGGCAGGGTTGAGGAGTTTGGAGCAGACACGTTAATAGAGGGGAGCTGCGGCGATGTACGCTGCTGCAGCTATGCAAGCTGTGCATCGATCGTCGTTCGTTTAGGTCTTCCAATGTCGAGCGAAAAGCGCGAATCACACGCAACTGAAACAAATGAAATTAGACAAAGGACAAAAACAGAAAACGGGGAAACGTTAAACAAAAGGAATATAACACAACAAATCAACAAACAAAATTGACAATACAAGCTAATAATAATAATGTATAATACAGACTAATAATAAATATAATATGCATATGTATGGTAGAGCTGTGAATAACCCGATGGTACTATCGATGCTAAATATATAGACGTACAATTTTTTTTTTTTTTTTAATTTGTGTACTAAAAAATAGGTAGAGTTCTAGGAGTAATAGGTAATCTCCAGAGTCCTATTAAAAAAAAAAATTGGTCTACGGTGTACACCCTAACTGTCCACAAAATCATTTGATATCAAAAAACTAACTAAGTTAATTTGTTAACTAAAAAATTTTAAATTAAAAATAGCTTGACGCGAGCACATGTAGAATTAGTTCAAGAAGTTATGCTCCAAATTTCAAACCAATTGGTCCAGTAGATTTTATGTTATCGTGTACATCGACGTTCAAAATAACATGACATAAGACACCAGTAATGCTAAAGTGTTAAAACAAAAGAATTAAAAACAAGAAAGGAAGCTAACTTCGGCACGCCGAAGTTTGTATACCCTTGCAGATATTATTTCATTACATTTCAACTATACTTATAATGTTTACAGTTTGACAGTTACAGTTTTACATTCACACCTTTACATTTTCTCTACATCTACCGATCGCTCCTATGGCCGCTATATGATATAGTTGTCCGATTTTCATGAAATTTATACCAAAATTCTACAATAATAAAATAAGCTTATATCTCAGAGTAGATGAAAATACGTTGAAAAACAACGAAGTTATAATTTGTTTCCTATTAATTTCCCGATCGTTTCTATGGCAGCTATAAGATATAGTCGTCCGATTTTCATAAAATTTTTACCAAAATTCAGAAATAATATAGAATGGCCATATCTAAAAAATGGTGCAAAAATGTTAAAAAACAGCAAAGTTATAATTTTTTTTTCGAAAAATTTATCGAACATTTGTATGGCAGCTATATGATATAGTCGTCCGATCCGGCCCGTTCCGACATATATAGCAGTGAGAGTATATAGAAGACTATATGCAAAGTTTCATTCAGATAGCTTTAAAACTGAGGGACTAGTTTGCGTAGAAACAGACAGACGGACAGACGGACAGACGGACAGATGGACAGACGGACAGACGGACATGGCTATATCGACTCGGCTGTTGATGCTGATCAAGAATATATATACTTTATAGGGTCGGAAACGTCTCCTTCACTGCGTTGCAAACTTCTGACTGAAATTATAATACCCTGCAAGGGTATAAAAATCGATAAGCTGACCTAAAGTATAACAACATCTAAGAATTTTTTTTTTTTTTGGAAAAGCAAGCTCCGAGGTGAAGGGTAGTGTTAGCAGAAGATACATTTGTACATACGTGTACATTTTTAGTGAAACTCTATTTATAACATGTTTAAAATTCAGAGAAAGGCTTCCTCTTTAAAAGAAATTCCTATTTATAGCTATGCTCAAAATAAAATACTCATATTTTTTGTTAAATTAATTTATTTCCTAAAATATTAATTTATTTCCTAGCCTCCTAATTTTCTTAAACAAAAAAATTATGTTTAAATAAAGCGGACACAAATACGGACTCATACTAGAGTTACAAAAATCCCTTTTGTATTCCAATATATCTTGTGTAATATATATTCTTGTAACGAACTGATTCAATAAAAATGAACACAATGCAAGCAAAATACAACAAGAAGAATAAAGGATGCTAGGATATACATATATACAAGTTTTACCGAAAGTATATATCGTTCGACTGCTGAATACACGAATGGTATTCTTTGGTTTTAGTTCCATCAACAAATCTAAGGCAAGAATGCAACTTAAAGTAATAAAAACATTCCATTAGCGATCCTTAAATCTTTGAATCTTACTTCATTTTATCCTACGCGACAAGCGCATTTATTTATTTAAATAAATATTTTTATTTATAAATAAATTAAAAATCATTTAAGATAATATAGTCTTAATTGAAATTCCTTATAATAAAACGAAATATAGAAAATTTCGCGTGGTTTTTCAAAATAAAGCTGTTTTACGGTTTACATTCTAAATGTCCACAGAATTATCCAATATTAAAAAAAATATATATGATTGCTATAGGAGACTTTTGACTAGTGAAATACATTTTAAATTCAAATTTTAAATTTTTACATATTTTTTTTAATTATTGATTTGAATATATTCATCTTCTTAAGGGGGGACATCTGAGTAACTTTTTTTAAAAATCGAAAATTTTTTTTTTTGCTTAAAAAATACTTTAGGGTCTTAAAAATAACATATCAAAAGAGTCCGGCAAATGTGTTTAAGTGTCGAAATTTTCCATTCTGCGGCGATGCCTCTCATGTAAATATATACGATTTTAAAACTTTAAACGCGTTTTTCTCAAAACCACTTTTTTTGAGTTGGCCGAAAACATAACTCGAACAAATCTTAACCGATCGATCTGAAATTTTGACAGTATATCCAAAATACCTATGGCTATCGACACACGTAGGATTTTTTTTTTTTTGCTTACTTTTTTTTTATCAACAATTTTGGGACATTTTTTTTTCATGAAAATTGAAAATTTTTTTTAATCCCTCACCATTTTGCTAAAAATCAAAATATCGAAAAAATCCTACGTGTGTCGATAGCGGTTGAGATACAGAAACTAACAAAATTTGATTTTTTGTTCTAGATCAAAAATTAAGGACGTTAGGTTTTCGGCCATGGACCCCTTTCAAAAAAATAGGGCCTACGAAGAACTGCTGCACAGCCGCCATTTTGTTTTCGATTTATTAAAAAAAAATGTATTTTGTACTTCACATATAACATTATCAAACCTTCTTTAAAATTTTTCGATTGGCTTTTTCATTTGGCCAAAAAAATTCCAGAAAAACGGTTTTTTTTTTGCCAGTTACTCAGATGTCCCCCCTTAACGCTACCATTTTAAAACTTTTAAGTTAGTGCGCAAAGTTTCAAACTTGTCGCACTAGGAAAAACAAAATAAACAAATAAAAAACAAGAAAGGAAGCTACCTTCGGCCCGCCAAAGTTTGTATACCCTTGCAGATTCCAATTGGATCATTAAGAATCGAGCCATTCTGGTTAAATAATTAAAAAAAAAAAAGAAATCATTTAAAAGTTGTATATTTACATATAGCATAAATAAAATGCTGAAAACACACACAAAACAGTTTCATTACATTTTACCTATACTTATTATGTTTACAGTTTGACAGTTGCCGTTTTACATTCCTAGCTTTACATTTTCTCTACATTTACCGATCGCTTCTATGGCAGCTATATGATATAGTTGTCCGATTTTTATAAAATTTACACCAAAATTCTGAAATAATAACAAAAGCTTATATTTCATGAAAATACGTTGAAAAACAACGAAGTTATAATTTTTTCTATTAATTCCCCGATCGTTCCTATGGCAACTATGAGATATAGTCGTCCGATTTTCAAAAAATTAAAACCGAAATTCTGAAATAATAAAAAATGGCCATATTTCAAAAAAATATATATATATATATATATATATATATATATATATATATATTTAAATATATTGAAAAACAGGCAAGTTATAATTTTTTTCTAAATTTTATCGAACATTTGTATGGCAGCTATATGATATAGTCGTCCGATCCGTGCCGTTCCGACATATGAAGCTGTGAGAGTATATAGAAGAATATATGCAAAGTTTCCTTCAGATAGCTTTAAAACTGAGGGACTAGTTTGCGTAGAAACGGACAGACGGACATGGCTTGATCGACTCGGCTGTTGATGCTGTTCAAGAATATATATACTTTATAGGGTCGGATATGTCTCCTCACTGCGTTGCAAACTTCTGACTGAAATAATAATGCAAGGGTATAAAAATAGATAATAAGAATAAATAACATCATAAAAAAAAACACATCAAATAAATAACAACTTCGTCATTTTGTATACCCTTGAAGGGTATTATAATTTCAGTTAGAAGTTTGCAACGCAGAGAAGGAGACGGTTCCGATACTATAAAATATATATTTTTCAGCAACAACAGCAGAGTCGATTTAGACATGTCAGTCTGTCCGTTTCTAAAGAAACTAGTCCCTCAGTTTTGAAGCTATATAAATGAAACTTTGCAGATAGTCTTCGGACTACTCTACTGCATGGACATGGCTTGATCGACTCGGTTGTTGATGCTGATCAAGAATATACATATATACTTTATAGAGTCTTCATCGCTGGCATTGCAAGTTTGCGTTGTAAACTTCTGACTAAAATTATAATACCCTGCAGAAGTATAATTAGAGTATTAAGGGTTTATTAATCTAATAATAACTGGGTAGCTTTCACAACTTCAACAAGATTCCAAGTTTTTCACAAATTCTAGACCAGAGTTCCATATCTGTATGTATACATAATTCCGTGCAGGAGTGGGCAAGGTGGAGAAAGAGTGCCACTTAAACAACGAAAAATGTATATGTAGGCAAATGCGAGGAGGAAAACTTTTTACACACTCTTTGTAATTTTTAATCTATTGTTTCGACTTGATTTTTTAACTACTATGTACTATATTAGGGATGAAAACGTAGAACTTGATTTATGAATTTTTTAAATCAATTGCAAAAGGTGTATAAAATATAAAAAAAAACCTTATTTAACTACTATATATGTACTTTATCAGGGATGAAACGTAATAATTGCTTTTTGAATATTTTAAATCAATTGCAAAAGTCGTCAGAAATATAAAAAATAAACATTTTGAAGTATTAAATTAAACACTAATTTCCTTATTTTGCTTTCCTGTTTAACTATCACTTTTGACTCTCATATATTTTTTTATTTAAATGGTTTTTACTATATATTTTTGATTTCTTAATTTTTATCTTTTTTTTATTTTTTAATTATTTTTATATATATAAATTATAATTATATTATAAATATC